CATTCCTCGAGCACTCCATTGGGAGTTCCACTCCCGCTCTTGACCTTTCAAGTCGGAGCTTTTAGTCCAATTGTGTTACGCTCGTTTGGCTTTTGCTTCGGCCATTACCACGTGGCATCCTTTCGGCTCCACTTTGGGGTTTAGGGATTTGTGTCTCACAGGTGTGGCTTGGTCAAGGTGACTAAGTGGGAAGGACACCTAAAGGGAAATTAATTGTGCCAATACGATAGTATAGTAAGTCCATGAAAGTAGTCTTTAAGAGAGACTCATGGGAGGGTTGCAAAGTTGGGCCGTGGATTGAGCCCGTAGTAGAAAATGCTAAAGAGACCTTTTAGGGGTGAGCACCCTCTGGACTTAGCAAGGTAGAGCCTTTGCCATGGAACCAAAAGGATACTTCGAAAATGGAAGTAGTGATTCTATGTTGTTCAGTGCAATAATCAACAGATAAAAGCAAAAAACTAGTGGCCAAGTGTGGGCTAAGGAGTTCATTGGAAGGAATCGAAATGGCAAAGTTAGACATGGAACACTAAGGTGTTAAATGCTAACGGCTTGTGAGAAAGGAAGTGTGCTTCTAAGGATAGATTCCCAAATACTCTAAGTTGGCAAAGGTGAAAGCTCCAAGGGAGGGAGCTGTAAAGTAGCCAAATGATAGAGTTGTGGACAGCTTTAGCACAACTTACAATAGCTGGAACTTAGTGCCAAAGGTGGCATAAAATAGAAAGGAGGATGATAGTGCCCTCAAGTGGAGAACTTCCTAAGATAGGGAAGTGAAGTTACACAATATGTGCAAAGAAAGGTGTCAAAGACACCAAGGAAATTGACTTCGAAAAGTCAAAATTAAAAGTTCCAAAATGAACTAGTTATATCAATAGAAGTTGAGACTACTTGAGAATGACTAATGGGATTGAGCTAGAGAAGGTGTCTCTAATGAGTCTAGCAAAAGCTAAACCAATAAAAGGGAGAGAACCACCTGAGGCGGTCAAATGAGTCTTTATGTTGGAGACACTATGCTCCTTAAAGGTTGGACAAGGCATGGTGAGCTTTCGGTGTCAAATTATAAGCAACCAAAGGAAACGACTCAAGAAATGATCCATAGGGGTTCAAATATAGAGGGAAAGGGCCCATGAATAAGAGTGCACCCCCTTTTCCAAATGGTTAAGGTCTTAGGATATTTAAGGTTAAACGTCCTTGGGTTTGGGTGACCTCTCGGGAAGTCCAAACTCAAGAGCTACAAACCATTGACGAATATTGGTTAGATGCCAAGGATGGAAAAGGTAATACATGCTAATGCTACTTTATAAAATGGTTTATTGTTTGATGAAGACATCAGACTTTGTCTATGGGTGGTGGAGTTGTGAGACACAAATCCCTAAGCCGAAAAGTGGAGCCGAGAAGTGGAGCCAAAAAGGTGCCACGTGGTAGTGGCCGAAGTGAATGCCAAACGAGTGTAACATGTTTGGATTAAAAGCTCCGACTTGAAAGGTCGAGAGCGAGAATGGAACTCCCAATGAAATGCTCAAGGAACAAGCACAAAGCGAGCAATAAGTGAATCTGTAGAAAAGGGACACAAAAGGACTAACATATGACACGTGGAGGAGTCTGAGATGGAGTCCAAGATGGAGTTCGAGATAGAGTCTGAGATGGACCTGAGGCCAAGACTGAGGCCCAGCCCAAGCCCGAGTCTGAGTTCGAGTTTGCCACATGGTAGTGGCCAAAGCAAATGCCAAATGAGTGTAACACATTTGGACTAAAAGCTCCGACTTGAAAGGTCGAGAGCGAGAGTGGAACTCCCAATGAAATGCTCAATGAACAAGCACAAAGTGAGCAATAAGTGAATCTGTAGAAAAGGGACACAAAAGGACTAACACATGACACGTGGAGGAGTCCAAGATGGAGTCCAAGATGGAGTCCGAGATGGAGTCTGAGATGGACCTGGGGTTGAGACCAAGGCCCAGCCCAAGCCCGAGTCTGAGTCTGAGTTTGCCACGTGGTAGTGGCCAAAGTGAATGCCAAATGAGTGTAACACGTTTGGACTAAAAGCTCCGACTTGAAAGGTCAAGAGCAAGAGTGGAACTCCCAATGAAATGCTCAATGAACAAGCACAAAGCAAGCAATAAGTGAGTCTATAGAAAAGGGACACAAGAGGACTAACACATGACACGTGGAGGAGTCCGAGATGGAGTCCAAGAAGGACCTGAGATGGAGTTCGAGATGGAGTCCAAGATGAATCCGAGATGGACCCGAGATGGACCCAAGGCCAAGACCGAGGCCGAGCCCAAGCCCGAGTCTGAGTCCGAGTCTGAGTCTGAGTTCGAGTTTGAGTCTGAAAGGGTGAAAGCCCAAAGCATTCTTCTCCCAAACCCTAAGGGGTTTGATGAGCTCCAAAAGTATAGTAGGGGGAAGACTCCAGTGGAGCTAGTTTGGCCAGGAAAGGCTAGTTTGGCCCAAGAAGGCTGTACCCAGGTGTTGGGTGATGGGATAACCATTGGGAGGTCCAATGCTAGAGTGAATACAAATTGTCAAGCGGGGTAGTTTGGTGAAGTGTTCAAGAGCCGGCCCGGGAGATTGAATGGTCGATGCTCCCAATCCAAGTGTGGGTAGAATTACCTACTTGGATACCTAGTATGGCTCAATGAAACCTCGCTCTAAGTCCATGGCTAGAGCACCTAAAGGCGGAAAGCGGGGAAAGTACCCACGAGACTCGCATAAGGTTATGGTGTTCTAAAATGTTGTTCCAAAGTCCCAGACTGTAGAATGGAAGAGGAGCAATCCTTTAGTGTAGTGACCAAGGATACGGTCATGTGGTGAGAAAGTCCTAGAGGACAATGGGACTTAGTGGTCGGGCCTGTGGACCTTGTCCTAGTGGCAGAGTAGGCAAACTCGGCCATAGACAAAAAAATGATTTAGTGGGGACTGTAAAAGGGATATTGGGGAAGGTGGTTTCCCCTGTCTGTAGGCATGTCAAGGATGCTAAGGAGTGGATCTTGGATGGTCACTCCTGGACGGATAGCCCAGTCGTTGAGAGACGGGACTACAATGCAGGTGGTGTTGGACTACTGGTGGTACCAAGGTGAATGGGCATGGCCTTAGCATAATGAGTTGGTATATCGGTGGTACTTTGGGGTGTCAGTCTTGGGACCGAACACGTGAAACACTTGAACCAAGTGCAAAGGATGAGTGGTATGGATGCCATTCTCGGGGCTAGCAAGTCCTAAGTCTTGAATTGGATTTAAGGATGTTGTGAATGGGACTCCTCCAAGTGGTCGGAGGTGTGGTTAAGTGACTAAAGTAGGATGAAAAAATTAATCGCTTACAGTTTGGTGTGTGCCTATGGAGAGTATAGTTGAACCTTAAATCTAATATAACCCAAGAAGGGGGATTTAAAGAGAATTTAAGATTCTATAGATGGAAGGCTAAAATTCCATTGTTCATGCAATGAATAATTGAATATAAATAGGTTCAAATAAAAGTTGGTATAATAGATAAAAGAACTTAACTGAGGCTAAGGTAAAAGTGGTTAGATATATTAGTTAAGCTCGTAAATTAGAAAAAGAAAATTTATGGTCTACATTAGATTGAGTAGAAAGTTTATCCTTCATCACTACAATAAATTTGACAACAATATTATCAAGACCACGAAGAATATAATGACTTGGTAAGTTAGATATTATTAAGGAACTTTTATTGATTAGAATTAAAATTTTATAAGTAATCATACTTACAGACTTTCATCACTCTATTATCTTTAGCTATATATTTTTAAAAAATATGCACAAATATAGAATAAAAACATATTATAGTAAAATGGATTCAAAAATAACATATGAAAAGTTTTGGTACTTTTTAGTAAGTGATACTATCAATTATGTTTTTTGACATGCAGTAAAGAAATTTGTGGAATTTATGGACCAAAATAAAACACTGACCTACTTTTAATGTAGCATGTTTTTAACTAATCTACAAGTGAGATAAAATATCAAGTATATTAATCTTGTCAATACAGCTGGTGGGATATAGATTGGCAATAATACCATACATTTAAAGTAGTTTAATTTCTATATTTTGAATAAAATCTTGAATATTATCCTGATGCAATACCTTATAGTATATGAATAAATGAAATGACAAAAAAAAAGAAGCTTTAGAAAGTATCCCAAGAAAGAGTCTTTTACAAAACACCACATATTTGCCCATCGATGGGTAGTTATTCTAGCCCAGAGGTATGGCAGAGCACATTGGCTTGTTTTGATGTTCTTGAGAATCTAAAGTTTTTCATTCATTCGAAATAAAATAAAAGGAAGAAATGCATAATACAGTACCCCTCACTCTTATGTGGTTGCCCCTTTGCCACGCTCACTCCTCGCTTCCTCCGTGGCGCACTTAGTCACGCCCAGCTCTGCACCCTAAATGTTTAATGACTAACTCTAAATTAGTAATGTTAAACTTTAATTAGTAGATGTTGTTAATGGATATGTTAACGACTATAATTTTATAATTAGCCAGTGAATGAAAATTTATAAGTATATAACCTGAGTGGTTGAATCAATTGAACTTCACTCATTATATAGTCAACCACTCCCAGAATTTTATTGATCCCGTGACTGGAGTTTATACAAATCGTATTGAATCAACATGGAATGTAGTGAAAATATCCCTTCCTCGCTATGGTACAACAAAAGGATTATACAGCTCTTACTTTCAAAAATATATTTGGCAAAAAATATATATTGAAAGAAAGGAAGCTGCATTTAATATTCTATGCAGTCATATTAAGCTATACAATCAAGATAATGCTATTATAGTAGAATAAATAATATATTTGATTTTTTACTTTTAAATACTTAAAAATATTTGAAAATAATATACTAGAACAATCTTTAATTTATAGTGATGAGGTGGCATGCGCATGTAAGCAATGAGGTGGCATGCGTATGTCAGCAAATCCAAATAAATTGTGCATTCTACCCAATTAAAATAAGCAACACAGCCTTTTAGGTTGGATGGAGGGAGAAAAGAAGAGAGTGGTCTTGGTCACGGGAGCGTCGTCCGGGCTGGGCAAGGAATTCGCGATCGCGTTCGCGCGGCAGGGATCTTACCGGGTGGTGCTCGCGGCGCGCAGGACGCATCTGCTGGAATCGGTGTGCGAGGAGATCGGGCACCACGATGCCCGCTCTGTGGAGCTGGATGTGAGCGCAAACGAGAAATTTATCGATGCTGCCGTTGATCGGGCGTGGAATTGCTTTGGAGGTGTGGATGTCCTCATCAACAATGCAGGCATTAGAGGCAACTCTTCAATCTCTTTCTCGCTCTCTTTCGAAAATATGAAAAGTTCTTGCTGGTTTTTTTGCTTGAAGATTTTCAATCTCTTTTTTTCTCTTGACAACGTTCTTGGCTCCACCGAGGAAAAAAAGTGGCATTAGTTTCTCGAAAGTCCTTGCTTGAAGATTTTTCCCTTGAAGATTTCTTGCCAAGTGTTTTTCTTGAAGATTATGTGCCAAGTTCTTGGTTGACAACGTTCTTGCTTCTTTGGTGATAGTCTTTTTCTTAGCCAACTTTTTTCTTACGATAGTATTATTCTTTCTTTTTTTTGTCCTTCAGGGCCTGTAAAGTCGCCTCTGGAGCTGGACGAAGACGATTGGAACAAAACCTTTAACACGAACACGAGAGGTACATGGCTGGTTTCCAAGGCTGTCGCGAGGAGAATGGTGGCCGCCAAGAAACCCGGCTCGATCATCAACATCTCCTCCACTGCATCATCCGGTGGCCTTCTTCCCGGCGGGATCGCCTACGCTTCATCCAAGGCCGCCATCAATCGCTTGACTCAGGTACCAGCTCCCTCCTTCCTCCCTGCTCGCGATTCTAAACGCCAGAGCACACACTCTTTCAGAGCATGGCCTTGGAGCTCGGCAAGTTTAAGATCCGAGTAAACGCCATCGCAGCTGGGATCTTTCGATCCGAGATCACCGACAGCCTTCTCGACAAAGCCTGGGTCCACGACGCCGCGGCCAAGATCGTTCCGCTGCTCCGGTTTGGACAAGTATCTCCCGACTTGACGTCTCTCGTGCTCATGCTTGCGAGCGAAGAACACTCGTCTTACATCACCGGCCAGATCTATCACGTCGATGGCGGTCACACTTTGCCTGGGATCCGACTCTGGTCATCTCTTTGAATTGATATGTTTGCGTCTTTCGTCCTTTTGTCAACGAGGTTGACCCACCGGTGAAGTGAGAATGAGAAAGGCTTGTAGGTGCTTGTTGAATTCCTTGGGCCTTTCCACTTGTGGAACGTGTCCTGTCTTTTCAATCACAACCAGCATCGCATTCTCACCTAAATGTCTGAAAAGAAGAGCAAGTGAGATCAGCACTGTAAGGAAAGAGACACTTGATTCTCAATCAATCAATCACTCACGCTTTTAGCTGTTTGGCGAGCTCCAGATCGAAGATCCGGTCGTGCGATCCCACGAGAATCAAGACCTCCTGTTCAAGAGCAATGTAAGTGCTAGAGAAATGATTTCCAAGAGTGTGTCTTTGCCTGTGAGAGCTTTGGCAGCGGCTGCGCGGCTTCGGTGCCGATGACCAGGCCGTCGAGGAGCTCAATCCTCTCCTTCCTGTTGCCGCCATACACCTGGATCGAAGCACAGTCAACGCACGGGCAGCAAGAGTCAACGAGGATTGAACACGAAAGCCTTTACCTCCATGAGATCCCGGACGAAGAAATCTGGGAGCCACAAGCGCTTATAGAGGCAAAGCTGGATGCTTTTCTTCTGGACCGCGATGGAGCTGGGCATGAGAACCTCGTGAATGTGCCTGGCCTGGAACGCGTCGAGGATCGCATCGTTGCTGTGGGGATCCATGCAAACGCCCGAGCTCGCGATCACTACCCTCTTCACGCGCGCCGGATCCAGCTCCGCCATCCGGAATGCCACGAATCCGCCGTAGCTCGTCCCCGCCACCGCCGCCCCGTCGACGCCCTCCGCCTCGAGGATTTCGAGCATACAGCGAGCCTGGAAGAACTCGGACCGCGCGCGCTCGTCGCTGGTGGTCGATCCGCCAAAGAAGACGAGATCGGGCACGTAGAGCGCGAAATTTCGGGACAGATCGGGCAGCTGATGCTCCCACCCGGCGATCCCGTTGGCCGCGAAGCCGTGGATGAGCATGAGCGGCGGCTTGGAGGGATCGTAGCCCGGGCTCGCGCGATCGGGCACCCAGCAGCGCATTACCGTGACGGAATCGCGCAAGGGGAACGTCTTTTCGATCAATCCCAAGCTCCGGCAGCGCTTCTCCAGCCGGCGTAGCATCGATCGAACGAGCGAGAAGCCGAAGCACGCCATTACCCTATAATCCTTCTCTTCTGAAGGTTCGAGAACCTTAAATACATTGTGAAGCATAGAATATGCTTATTTCGAGCAAGGAATATGCTTCTAGGATTAGGTTAAGATCGCGCCCACGCGCCAAGCAGGGCAGTGCGCGCGGCGTCGCCCGGGACGAAGGGCATGGCGAGGAGGAGCTCGCGGGCCTCGTCCAGGCGGCCACAGCGAGCTAGGAGATCCACCGCGCACGCCCATTGATCCTCGCGCGGCACCACGCCGAAGTCGCCGGTGATGAGCTTCCAGCAGTGGAATCCCCGGTGGAGATCGCCGGTGTGGCTGCACGAGAGGAGGAGGAGGCTGAAGACGATGGGATCGAGCGAGAGTCCCTCCACCGCCAGGGAATGCAGCGCTGCCGGGTCGAGGGCGGCGCCGCTGCGAGAGCGCGCGTCCAAGGCGCAGCTCCACGCGACTGGATCGGGCGAGATCTTCTGGGAGAGCTCTAGGGCTTCGGCGATTCCGCCGCAGCGGCCATAGGCGCTGATGAGCGAGGCAAGCACGGCGGGCAGGGAGTCTAGGCCGGTACCCTGGATGCTCGAGTGGATCGTCTTGGCGATGGCGAGCGAGGAGATTTGGGCGCAAGCGTCGAGGGCTGCGAGCACCGTTGCTTCGTTTGGTGTCACTCCCTCGATCGCCATTCCCCGCAAGAGGCCGAGCGCGCGGCAGGGATCTCCGCTGGAAGTGAATGCTGCGATCATCGTGTTCCAGGAGATCGTGTCTCTTTGATCCATGCTGTGAAAGAGGGCTATGGCGGTATCGAGCGATCCGTGCTGGGCATACGCCGCGATCATCGTGTTTCGCGACGCAGTGTCCTCTACCGGTCGATCCTGGAGGAGAGATTGGGCAGCGAGGAGATACCCTCTCTGAGCATACGCGGCGATCATTGCATTCCAGGAGATCGCGCTGCGCTCCGGCATCTGATTGAAGAGCGATCTGGCGTCGTGCAATCGATCGCCGTGCGCGAGGGCGGAGATCATGAGCGTGTAGGCGACGATGTTTCTGTGTGGCATTCGATCGAAGAAAACCTCAGCGGTGGCTAGATCTCCCTCGCGGGCGTGCGCGGACGCCATGGCCGTCCACGAGATGACGTTCTTGTGCTGGATCGCGTGGAAAATCTCTCGCGCGGAGTCGAGAGCACTGAGATTTCCGTACGCGGTGAGCGTGATGTTGGAGGAGGTCGCGTCCCAGCAAGGCATTCGCAGGTAGCACTGGATCGCGAGGTGGAGCTCGCCCCTCTGGGCGATGGCTTCGAGCAGCGAGATCCATGACCAGGAGCTTCGATCTGGAACAAGGGAATCGAATGCTTCTGTGATTGCATGCCTTGTTCTTTCGGGATCTCGAGCTAGAGCAGAGACGATTGCTGTGCTTGAGATCATGTCCCAGATCGGCATCAAATCAAAGACAGCCTTCGCGCCCGCGAATTTCTCCCCGGCCTGGATCATCTGGCTCCAGGACGCGATGTTACGCTGCGGGCAAGATTCGAAGAGAAATCTCGCGTCCTGGCAGCGATCTTCCCGAATTGCAGCCGCGATCATCGAGTTCCAAGTGAGAGTGGTGTGCTGGGGCATGCGATCGAAGAGATCTTGGCACTCCTTGCGATGCCCTTGCTGGGCAAATGCGGTCGCCATAGCGTTCCAAGAAACCATACCCCTAGAGGGCATACAATCGAATATCCGCTTGGCGGTGTGTATATTCCCGGCTTGGGCATATGCCGTGCACATTGTGGTCCACGTCACCTCGTCCCACGCAGGCATATTGTCCACCACGCGCTCGGCATCTTCCAGATCCCTATTCCCGGCATATGCCTGTAGGAGGGAGTTCCAGGTTCGAATATCTCGAGCGCCGGCGCGGTCGAAAGCCATTGCGGCCTCATCCAACCGTCCGTGCTGGCCAAGTGCCATGATAATGGCCGTCGATGCCACTGCATCCCTCTCGGGCATTTTCTCGTAGAGCGCTAGTGCGGTGGGGAGGTCTCTGTTCCTGACGAGCAAAGCGATGGAAATATTCCAAGAGATTATATTCCTTGGGCGCATAAATGGATCAATGATCTCTGGGTGGATGATCTCGATATGTGTGAGCGGGATTTTCAAAATGTGGAGCTAGGGTTTAATGATCTGACACGGGCGGCGGTGTGTGAGAGAGTGGCTGCAATCCAGAAGAAGCGATGCCTCGGACTAGCAAGAATGTGGATCACAAGCGCAGGGCAGAGGTGTTGGTAGGAAATCGCCGGGCGATGAGGCTCAAGACTCCTGGAATGAGCGCCGATCTTGCCGATCTTGCGAAGGTAGGGGCAGAGGGCGACGTGGATGTGGAGAATGGCCAAGCTCTCTCGAAATCTGGGAACTTTGTGCTCGGCGATGCCGCGAAAGTGAAGAACAATCTCCGGATCTTCAATATGTGCTACTTGCAAGCGATCAAGGTGTGACATTCTTCCATTCTTTGGTTGTGTCTTAGATGTTTTCCTTCTCTTTTCTTTTTTCTCTTTCCACAGGAAGAGCAGGAGCGTTGCAAGAAGATGAGGAACGCTTCCCAGCGTCCCGACTTGAAAGCGATCTCCAAGGTGATCATCTATGCCAAAACGAAGAACCTCTAACGTGTTTCTTCTTCACAGATGCTGCGCATGAACGCGATTCTTTTTCCGGAGAAGCGCATTGGCGACTTACCTGGTATGCTTTTTATGATCTTCGCGTCGAAGTATACAATGCTTCTTTCTAGGAGTAAAAGTCGGAGACACTTTCTTCTCTCGAGCTGAGCTCGTCAGCGTGGGGATCCACAAACACTGGATAAACGGAATAGATTACATTGGAAAGGTACTTGCTAGTATCACGATGATTTATCTCTCACGCTTTGCTTAGGGAGGCAACGATCACAAGACATATAACTTGCCTCTGGCCATTTCTATCGTCATGTCGGGAGGCTATGAGGACGACGTTGACAACTCCGATGATGTGATTTACACGGGACAAGGTGGAAACAATCTCGCTGGTGACCGGCGCCAAATGCAACATCAAGAGATGAAGCGTGGTAATCTGGCCTTGAAGGTTTGTGCTTGCTTTACGTTCCATTGGCTTACGTGCTGAGTTTGCAGAACTCTATTGAAGAAGGGAACCCTGTCAGAGTCATCCGTGGCCATGACTTGAGGCACAGCTACACTAAAAGGGTGTACACGTACGATGGCCTCTACAAGGTATTCACGATTGATTTCCTAGTCTGCGTTGTTTTAACTGTGTTTGTAGGTAGTGGACTATTGGGCTGAGAGAGGGATATCCGGTTTCAAGGTTTATAAATTCAAGCTAAGGCGCTGTGAAGGCCAGCCAGCGCTTACGACTGAGCAAGTCCGCTTCTGTAGAGGAAAGCTTCCTGTGGCGCCATCTGAGCGCGGGTGAGTACGCAGTGAACTTGGTTTGAAAAACTAAAGTTTGATCCTCTCTTTTGCAGACTAGTTTGCAAAGATATTTCCAATGGACTGGAAGTTTTGCCAGTTCCCGTATCGAATCTCGTGGACAATCCGCCTTGTGCACCCGATGGTATTTCACAAGTTTCATGCATTCTTTGTGTGACAAATGACTTTCGTAGGCTACAGATACATCAACAAAATCGAAATTGATGACGGGATTGTACTTCCGCCTCCAGCGCTGGGATGCAGTTGCAAGGGGCTCTGCGTCGATCCTAAAATATGCAGCTGTGCAAAACGAAATGGACACACGTTTCCATACGTTGACAGCCATGGTGGCAGGTTCTCGACTCGATTTTTCGTGCAAGACTGATTTTCTTTTATGTTTTTTAGACTGGCTGTGCCTCTTGACGCCGTGTATGAGTGTGGCCCAAACTGCGGGTGCGGTCCGGCATGTATAAACCGAGTGACGCAGCGTGGCCTACGTTACCGCCTTGAGGTGAGCATTGTCAAGTGTTGGCGGCGATTTTGATATGTTGTTGCTACGATTTCAGGTGTACAAAACCCAGCACAAAGGATGGGCTGTTAGATCATGGGATTCCATCCCTGCTGGAGCGCCCGTCTGTGAATACTTTGGCAAAGTTATAAAGTCTGACAGTCTCGACGTAAAGAGCGACGTCTATTTGTTTGATCTGGATTGCATTCAAACCATGCGAGGAGTTGACGGTAGACAGGTATACCATTTACATTTGGATTCGAGAATTTCTAAAACTTCTTCTCCAGAGACGGTGGGGAGACCTGAACAAGTTTTTGGACGACCAGAATGGGAAAGTTAGCTGCGAGTCCAAGGACGCTGAGGATGCGGAACACCATGGACAAGCGGAGTTTTGCCTGGACGGAGGCGAGTGTGGAGCAGTAGCGCGTTTTATCAATCACAGCTGCGAGCCAAACCTCTTCATCCAGTGCGTTTTATCGACTCATCACGACATGCGAATCCCTCGGATTGTACTGTTTGCAGCTGACAACATAGCACCACTTCAGGTAAAACTTTTCGCAAATCTAATAGACATCCACATAATCTTTGTTGTGAAAATGGCAGGAGCTAAGCTACGACTATGGCTATGCACTCAACAGTGTGGTCGATTCTGATGGTCTAGTGAAAAAATTGCCGTGCTACTGTGGAGCACTCTCGTGTAGGAAGCGACTTTACTAACAGCGGAAACGGATGTAAGGAAATTCTTGACAGATTGATGATGGCAAGTTCTTATGATATTTGTTTCGCAGGATCAGTATCATGTTTGTATTTGATTGTAAAAGGTTGCGGCTTCGGAGGTTTATATTATCGTCAGGTTTACAACCTTTTCACGAAGGGTTAGACTGGATATTGATGAAATTTTGGCCAAGCGAACCTTATGTAACAAGAACAAAATCTTAGACCGCGATTAATTATGTATGGAGCCAACCCAAGTACTATCTCGTTTTTAAGAGACTGCTTGAGTCTCAGAGGATTGGAAAAAGTATGAGCTTGTCACTAGGTGATACTACGATGGAGCTCGAGGTTTGGATGAGTGAAGTATGATGGAAGATCACCTCGATTTTAAGAAGAGTGAAAAATTGTAAGATAAAATGGCGGGATCGTGCTAAAGAAGAAAAGCTCAACGGCTATATCACTCTGCTCAAATTTTTCTTTTGGGCGGTCAGTAAAGAGACGCAAATGTGCCTGGGCGCGATCACGGTGGAATAGGGTCCGACGATCTTCTCGCCCGCCCTACTCTAGGTACGCGATCTTTCTCTTCGCGCTTGTTCT